AATGATTTACATGTTTTAAAAACTCTAAAAAAAAAAAAAAAGAAAACAGCATAAATAATCATTGACTTAAATGAGAGCATAAACTTTCGGCACCTCATATTTGTGCGCGTGCTATACACTCTCTGGTAATAAATTTATGCTCCAAAATTGCTGCTGGGACAACCTCCATTTCTCCGCACTATTCAGTCATTCATTCATCGTCCTCTTCTTTGTTTGATTACAGTGGAGAGACTAGACCGAAAGATATAGGAAACGATGGGGCTAGAAATTATGGAGCCAAACACTTGCATAAGAGGTTGCTGCAGCAGCAAAACCATTCCTCTTCACCTCCGTCCGTCGTCGTACACTCTACTTTCCCCAATTGCAAGAGGTATAACTCTTTCAAATTCTATTTCTAAGGTTTCTGCCTTCTGTGTTTGATCGTGAAAGCAGCCGCGATATAATGTTATGAGGTTGTCTTTGTAGTGTTGATCTTGTTATATACTTGTGGAGTTCGTCGATTTTGTTCGACGAATAATATTGTCGCGATTGGGTGAATGTAGGGGCGGAGAGTGTGGTGTATGAAGCGATTCTGGATGGGAGAAAAGTCGCTGCGAAGAAGCCTATCTTGTCTACTTCAGATGATCTTGACAAGTTCCATAAGGAGTTGCAGCTTTTATGGTCAGACACTCTCTTTCTCATACATATGCACACGTATGGACTCACAAATACACACACATACAACATGCATATATACAAATATAGATTTTGTGCGATACTGCTCCATGGAGATGGCTTGGCTTGGTTACTAGTCATTTTCATTGCTAGGACTGTGGTGAAGAATTTACTTCTGTTAAAAGGAAAAAACTTAGGAAAAAGATATTTAGTATTTTCATTGGGTTACATGCATAATAAGTCATGGATAGAAGCATGGTATGCGCAGCATATATAATGTACTCACATATCTGACATGTATGCATGTATGGTATTATGAATTTTGAGAAAATAATGATGGTAAAATATGTGTTTGCTTTTTTCTCTTCTCTCTTACGGTTGAAGCAAGCTAGATCACCCTGGAATAGCTACACTGGTTGCTGCACATGCGAAGCCACCCAATTACTTGTTTTTCTTTGAATTCTATGAGTCTGGCAATCTTGCAGAGAAATTACACATTGAAGAATGGACCCCCAGCATTGGTCAAGTGCTCATGATCACAATCCAGCTAGGTATCGCTTTTTGTTATATTGGAGATATCTGTAAATACCTTTTTTTGTTTGAAATTGCAATTGATGTTAACTTCAGAAATGAATGTTATGAACATAATCTCTTTTCTATGATGGGACAACTATTTTCTCGTTTGTTTAGTTTCTGCTAGTTTGTTGTATTGTAGCTTGTATATTAAGATCTCTTGGCTCTAGTAATTAGCTGGAATGGATAGGGTAACATTGGATGATGTCGACATCCAAAAAAGCTAAAAATAGATTGCACTACCTTTATGTAGGCTTGTTTGTTCCACTTTATGTTGAATACCGATGAGATATCAGGACTCAGATAGGCAGTTCTATCTTAGAGCTTAATGATGTTAGCTCTTTTTGGTCAGAATTCATATTGTACATGTTTCGTGGTCAGGATTTAGCCAGTCTCTTGGAAAAGGCAATAAGTAAAGAATTGCAGAGATTTCTTTATTTTTTTGGCTGGGTAACAAATGCGTTCTATTGGCCAAGTTCTGTATTCTGAAAAAGTAATTAGATTTCTTGGATTTCTACATATGCGATTTCGGGACTTCTATTCTAAACATACATTTGTAACCATAAGTAAGAGGAAAGGAAAAGGCAGAGGATGGAACCAAAGCTCTTTTATTGTCAGTTGTGTGGTTGAAAAGGAAGGGAAGGAAAAGATTCATTCACAGGTTGAGGCTTAGGAGGTAATGAAAGGAGGGAAAATGTGCCTATTTCTGTTAAAAAACTTTGAATAACTAAATGGTTCTTTTGCCTTTGAAGATGTAAGATATTGTTGCTGTGAACAGTGGAGTAAAACTTTTTCTAGTGTTCTACCTTGTGGTATAGGTTCTCATAAAATTATTATTACTGGATGAATATTGTGATAATGGAAGTCAGGCTCACTTGATGACTTCATAGCAGAAGAGGTAGTTTGCTCACTGTCACAATTCGAGTTCACAAGAGACCATTTCTTTTTCCTTTCTGGAACTTCCTCCTTGTTCATTTTGCCATGCCTTGATGGAACTTGTGCTCTTACCACTAACTCAGTTTGTTGTTGACTATTTTAGTAGATATTTTTGTGGATACGCGTAGAAAAAAATTCCTTGTTTTTTTGGTGGTTGTGTGTGTGTCAATCATACATTTTAGAGTTTCTTTGGATGATATTAAGGTCTTTACCCTTTTATCCTTCTTCCTTCTCCAGCAAAGGCATTGCAATACCTTCATAAACATGGGATTGTACATAGGGATGTGAAACCAGCAAATGTTCTTGTAATTTCCTTCTATAAGCTCCAATTTTTCTTTGTTGGTTTTTTATTTGTAAGATTGGATTGAAACAGCTGAATCAGTTAATTTATCCAGCAGGCAAATTGACTTCTAGTAACATAATTAATGTTTGTGATACAGCTTGACAAGAGCCTTCATCCACATTTAGCAGACTTTGGTTTGGCGGAATACAAGAGTGATCTTAAACGAGTTTCTGTTGATAGTTGGAGATCAGCTGGCAAGCCAACTGGTGGTTTCCACAAGAAGCACATGGTTGGCACTCTTATTTACATGGCGCCTGAAATATTGAGGAAAGAAATACATACTGAAAAATCAGATGTCTACAGTTTTGGGATATCAATCAAGTAAGAATTTAAGATAAATCAAGAAATTTTGCTGCACTAGGTTATGAAATTGTATATTTCTGTCATTTTACACGGGGAAACAATGGAATGCAATTATAAATTTAGTAGAATAAAAATTTCCTTATTAGTAGGATATGAATTTTTATAAGACCCTATGTGTAACAATTTAAAGGGTGAGAAATAAAATTATTATTTTTCTCCAAAATCAATATGGTATCGTAGCCAAAATAAGATTATTTTAAGATTTTAATTTCATGATTTTTTCAAAACTGTAAAATAATAAAATAGGCTGAGTTGCTACTCACTTATAAAAAAAATTCAACCTCACCAACCACCCAGTCAAAGTCGCTGCTCATTGACACTAGATCAGAGCCGTTTTTGCCACACGTGAGCCACACGCGCTGCTGTCAGTGGAAGCACGTGATCCCCACGCGTTGTTAGGAATCAGCTCATTCCGGTCAAAATTGTGTTGCACAGCCATTGCACACCAATATCCGGTCCTTTTTTGGCATTTTGCACATGATGCAGTACAGATGGCATGTCAAGATTCCGGCTTTCACGTGGCTGCGTGCATTTGGCCAATCCGTTGTTCTGTGCCCTTTGCTACATCGTTTCGGTCGTTCCACGCTTGGAGGCGACTTGTCTAGATCTCCCCCACGCCACCTCGCTCTCGATGCGCATTGAACCGCGCTGCATTGTTGGACAGATGTCCTTTGCGCACCATTAGAGCTTTCTGCACACGGGGACATTCAATCTTGCCATTCCGTGTGTTGGGCCACCCCGATCTGGTCTGTCTGCGCTTGAGCCAAGCTGTCCGCGTCCGAGTCACTACCAAGCCGAGTCGATTTCGAGTCATTTTTTGAGCCGAGTTTGAGTTCTTTTGAATCGAGTTTGAGCTGTTTTGAGTCGAGTTTGAGCTGTTTTGAGCCGTACCCGACTCCTTTTTGAGCCTAATCCGAACCTGAGTCATTTTGTAGTCGAATCGAGCTGAGCTGCTGCCTCACAGATCTGGGTTCAGTTTGTAACTTAGTTTGCAAAACTTAGTCTGCAAGTTGGACATGTATATTATTCTTGCACTAATTTGGGAGGGTGTTGAGTAGCATATTTTATTATTTATTTATTTAGTATTATGTAATTAGGATTATATGAGAATAATAATCTCATATAATTAAAAATTTAATATAATAAAAATTTTCTTATCAGTAGAATAGGAATTCTATAAATATTTTAAGTGCAACAATTTAAAAGGTAAAAAATAAAATTATTATTTTTTCTCAAAAATCAGCAGGAATATTATTTCTCCCTCTAACGTCACATAGGATGAAGTACTTAATAGGTTCTCATATTCACCGATCTCCTAGTCATTTAGGTTTCTTAGCACTAAGACCTGTCATTCTTTCTCTCTTCCTCCAATCTCCACAACTGAATCAAATATCTTGATCTCTCTCTGCTGGGAGAGTGTAAATCTAGGGAAATTTCTCTTTGAGAGTACCATCCTCCGATCATTGGTCTTTCCATAGTTTGATCCTATCCCTCTTACAAACGTTCTGCCAAGAACTGGGTGCATACACCCGAAAATGAGCAAGATCAGAGAAAAATATTGCATTATCAGCAAAAAACAGATGAGTGATCTCCTCAGTCTGTTCCCCCACTCCAATCTTCAGACCTCTGAATAAATCACATTTCTTATCTCTTATTATCATACTATTAAGGGCTTCCATGACCACAATGAAAAACAAAGGGATAAAGGGTTATCCTGTCTTAACCCTCGAGGTGCCTGGAAGAAAGTTGATGAACCACCATTGACAATCACCGCAAATGAGGTAGTACTAATGCATGCCTTGACCCAGCACCTCCATTTCTCCTCAAAATCCAACATTGCGAGCATGTAATCCATGAAACCCCAATTCACTTGATCATAAGTCTTCTTCATTTCTAACTTGTACAACACCCCTTCCCTCTTTCTATATGCTAGTTCATCTACCACTTTGTTAGCGATCAAAGCAGCATCAAGGATTTGCCTGTCACCACAAAAGCATGCTGACTTTCCCTAATTATCTTATCAAAGCGGCATCAAGTTGATTGGCAAGCTGATAATGGAAGACATCTTTAAGCTAACTTGAGGGAGAGTGTTGAGAGATTTGGGGAATTAATTTCCAGCAGATGTTTTTGCAGATTTGTTGAGATATTTAGGGAATTAATTTCCAGCAGTTATGGGAATTCTTACGTATCAGTTGTTTGATTTGTTGAGAGATTTTAGGAATTAATTTTCCGCAGATTTGGGGAGTTAAACCAGATCTTGTGCCATTAATCCTTAGACAGCTCTTGATTGTTTTTATTTTTTACATTTTCTTTATTTAGTTCAAAAGCATTTTTGTTTAAAGCTGTTTATCTATTTTCTTTTCTATGTAATGATATTGTATTTCTATTCTCTGCAGTGAGCTTCTCACTGGGATCGTCCCATATACAGATCTTCGTGCAGAAGCTCAGGTTAGTATCTTTATCAAATTGTCATTTGTTTGGATTATGGGTGCAGTAATATAATATATTGTAATTGGAGAATATGCATAGTCTCTGCTGTTACTATGGAAGAATGAATGTTGTGTTTGATATTGAGTATCAAGGCCTGTATATACATATTCTTTGTAAATAATAAAAAGAAACATATGATTAATTGCATATGTAGGTATTTTGCTACTATATCTTTTACTCTTACACTTATATACACTTTTCGGCGCTCCTCCTTAAGCTGGTGAATAAATATTGTTCATTCTTAACTTGACAATAATTATTTATAATATGGAATAACTTAAATCCTTAGTTAACACATCGACAAGTTATGAGGAGATGAGAATGTATGGTATATGTATCAAACTACTATCTAGCTTTTCCTTGATGAAATGCTTGTTAACTTCAATGTATTTGGTTATGTCGTATTGCATTGGATTGTGGACAATACCGATTGCCAGTTTATTGCCATAATAGAGTCTCACAGGCCATCCATTTTAATTTTCGAGTCTTCTAAGATCATCATTTACTATAGTAGTTCACATATCCTTTGAGTTATAATTCGAAATTCTGGTTCTGCGGTATATCATGCTACCACATTTTACTTTTTACTTCTCTATAAGTGACCAGATTCTGTACAAAGAAGGTGCAATAGCCAGTGGTGGACCTTCTGTCCGCTAAGATCTTGCATAATCTGCATCAGTGTATGCTTCAAGAAATAACTTGTTTTTTCTTTTGAACACGATACCTTTCCCTGAGGTCCCCTTCAAGTATTGTAGTACCTGATATACGGTTTGTAAGTGTAATTTGGATTTGTACATAAATTGACTCATTACACTTATGTAGAACTAACAAAGGAGAATAATCGTTTTGAGAAATTTTACACTAAACAGAATAGGAAAATTTAATTTCCTTTTCTTTCACTAAAAGGTATAGGGAATTTTAATTTCCTTTTATAGTATAAGTAAAGTTTTGGAAAATATTATAATAAAAGGAAGTAGGAAGATTTCCTAATTTCCTTATTCCTTCCATTTAACTTATTTTTCTACTCTAGGTTTTCTTTGTTTACAATAAAAAGAAATATAAAGGTTTACTAATTTTCTTCTATTTAACTTATTTTCCTATTTTGCTAGATTTTCTATTTTTGATGTATTTTAGTTCCTATAAATAAAGTATCTTTACTTAGTTATTAGGTACACTAGTTATGAGTATTATTCAAATATTGAGGTATTGTTTTGATTATTGAAATCTAAGATCTCTAAGTTTGTTCTTAATAGAATTTCCTTAA